AAAAGAATTTCCTTCTCTAGTATCATCAAAATTTCCTCGTCTTTTTTCTTCCATCAAAGCTTCATGTTGGCTCTTAGCAATATATGCATGAACTGAAAGAGACTCAACAGGATCCTCCCAACCTGTTCTTCCTCGTATTGTAGCTGCAGTTCTCAATAACGCTTCTCGAGGTAATTTCCCTTCTTGCATTGTAGAAACAGCAGAAGCCCAAAACTCACTAGTTTCCGTACTTCCACCAATTTCATCATCTACTCTAGCACCATAACTTGCACTTTCTCGTAGTACTGTTTCATGCTCTTTTAAGTAATCTTGAACCAATGCTCTCATTCCTCCTTTGCCAAAATTGGTTTGAAGAAGATCCTCCCTATCTTTCAATGCTATCTTCCCATCTTTCCAGTAAATAATTCCCTGCCGTATCATATTATTAAATTCATTGCAATCTTTTCTAGTGTGTGAAGCATCATCACACCAAATGCATCTTTGTACATATCCTTATTTTGAAACATTCTTCGAATTGTTTATAGAAGTATTCTCTTCAAGTCTTGCCAATTTGATTTGAAGATTTCACATTCCTCGTATAATTTCTTCCATATCCATATCTGCTTTCTTTGACAAGGATGTCGAAGGTTGAACTGTAAGCATTGTCGGTGGTGTTGTACGTACTGGAGCTTTGGGTGCTTGTACTGTTTTCGGAATATTGCTCCTATCCTTCCTCCTTTCTTTTTTTGTAAGCAACCCCACTGCATCTTCAACGTTCTTCCACTTCGTCGTCAATCCTTCATCTTCTTCTTTGTCTTCAAGAAGGGGTTCTAATTTCTCTTGCAATTCTCCATCAGCAGCTTGAAGAAATAGATCAACTTTGTTCGGCTCCAATGTCAATTTTTCTACCTTCGATAATTGAGAGTACTACCTCTCAAATTCCCTTAGTAGCTCTGTTGTTTGCAAATTCTTATTGGGCCGTTCAATCCATTCCAGAAACAGCTTCTTAGTAACGCGATCAGCATCTTCCAAGAAATATTCGTCTTTCAATACATGTGAAAAATCCTCCCATGAATTCCCACAACGATCCGTAATCGATGTAATGTGGTCCCTTATCTCCGGTATCGTGGCAAGTCCAAATAGTGCAACCATTTTCTTCTCAGAAACCCGATTTAATTCCATTTCATGAACATAACATCTTAAATACCTTGAAATATTCCTCCCATCAAATTGATCAATTTTATTGACCACTGCTTGTAATGCTTTGGTTGCCAAAGCTTCCTTTCGATCATTGCTTTGCTGTTGCTGCATTGACAATGAGAAGGCTTGAAACAAACTAGCAATAGATGGATCCATGTGCATATCTTGTCCTTTAGAAGACTCCCCACCAGAAACTTCTCCCAAAAATCCTTCAAAATTTTTATTTTCGTTTTCCATAAAAATAAAGATAAAATCAACTGAAATCCAATACCTTCTACCTCAAGCTTTCACGTCGGGTTCACCACTTATGTCGTATTACGTGCTTTCCTGCTCGAAAACACGCCGGCGTCTGGCTGTAGAAGGTAGTATGGAGATTCGCCGATAGTCAAGCAGTCTATCAGTTTTTGACTGCTGGAATATAAACGACTGCAACAATGTACCGTAAATCTATACGGGTACTCTTCGACTGCTTGTCGAAGTCTTTTTTTTTTTTTTGCCCCAGCCGATAGGTCTCTAGACGTTACAGAGAACCCCGAACAACCCAAACTGTTAATCTTCAATACCCCTTTGTACTTACGATCTTGTTTCCACTGACTGTCCTGTTAGATTAACCCCATAAATTTCATTCACTCCGCATACTCAATCCTATAGACACCCTTTTAATCCTTCAATCACAGACGTAACTCGATTTTACAAAACAGTCAAGAGTATTCAAATCCACTTCATTTAAAAATCCCGATTCACCATTACAACACTGACTTTAGCAGCGATTGCCTCAGTCTTCCCAAAACTCTACGAAGAAGAAAAATCCAAATTCTATGTCTTTCCTTCCCCGACCCGAAGCATGAAGCTCCTCTCTCTAATTTCCTTGATCTTCAAAACCCCCAATGAAAACGAACTAGTAACCTTACAAAAAGCTTGAAGCTAGCTCCCCGATTCTCCGAAAAAAAAAAAACCTCTCCTCCCTAAAACTATATTCTCCCCTAACCTTATCCTCTGAACTTCTTCAATCTTCCATCTTAGATCCGGAATTGGCTCCCGCGGTCAGAGCTTAGATCCGAAATTGGCTCACGTCATCAAGGCCTTCTCCTCCGTTTTTACCTTTAAGAGATCCATTTACCGTAAACAACGTTCCCTGAAATGGCACAGAGAACAGGACAGTCCGAAATAGAATCGAAATGCCGTAATCGGGACCACATTGAGTCGCCCGACCAATTCAGGTCGCATATTGGGTAAGATGCCCGTAGTAACCTAGATGCTCGCGTAATTGGATCAAATTGGTCTTCGCGTCAGACTGGCTGAGGCCCGTAGTAAGACCTGGATTTTTTCGTAACTAGACTGCATTGGGTTGTTCCACCAATACAGGTCTCATATTGGGTAAGAGGACCCGGATTGGATTCTCGAAATTGGATCCAATTGGCTCTTCAAACCCGTCGTGTGAATTGGTCCTTCTCATCTTGCTAACTCCCGTTATTAGAATCGAATGGAGCATTTCAGTATGCCCCGGCTGACTGTAACGGGGTGACTGAACCTGACCACTCAGTATTTGTACTGGAGTTGGTTGATGCTCCCAATATTCGAGGTAACTGAATATTAATAAAATTCCCCTTTCTTTTTATTTTCACTGTATACTCGTGTTACAACACGACAGCGTTTGTTTCTGCACCAATCTTGTATGGTGTTGATTTTTTCAAAGCATTCTTTATAAAAACAGATGCATCAGACTTTGCTCTGGGTGTGGTTTTATCACAAATGGGAATAAATGACTAACTTCATCCAGTAGCCTTTCATTCAAGAAAATTCTCAGCAGCAGAAATCAATTATGAGATCCACGACAAAGAACTTCTTGCAATCGTGGATTCTTTTTAAGAATGGCATCATTATCTAGAAGGCGCTTCCATTCCAGTCATCGTGTATACAAATCACAAGAATCTTGAGTATTTTATGTCAATACGCATATTAAATTATCGTCAAGCTCGTTGGAACATGTCTTTATCAAGATTCGAGTTCATCATCACTTATTGGCCAAGAAAACAACAAGATTTGTCCAATGCCTTGTCTAGACATTCTTATCTTGCACCAAAAGAAGGAGATGCAGCTTTTGAGCAACAAAGAATGGTTTTCTTGAAGCCGGAGCAATTTCATCTTCGAGCAATAAAATCAACATTGATTAATGATTTAAATTTTCTTAAGCAAGTCCAACTAAGTATGTCTTTAGACCCTCTTGTTCATGATATCAAGAATAATTCTTCTAAATCTCATGATCACTCTAAATTTGAATTCAAGAAAAACCTACTCTATTTCGAAGGACGCCTATATGTTCCACAAGAAGAAGCACGTTTACGTATTCTTTAAGCTTGTCATGACTTCCCAGCACCAAAATATTTTGGATACAATAAAACTTTAGAACTAATATCCAGGGATTTTTGGTAGCCACAAATGTGGAAAGCAGTCAAAGATTTTGTACAATCTTGTAATGTTTGCTCGAGATCAAAAACTCCTCGTCATCGACCTTACGAACTTCTTCAGCCATTATCCATTCGAGAACAACCATGGTCTTCTATTTCTATGGACTTCATCACGGATCTTCCAATCTCAGGTTCTTATAACTCTATATTCATGATAGTAGATTGTTTTACCAAGATGGCATATTTTGTACCATGTACAAAATGTATCACAGGTGAAGAAATAGCTAAGCTCTTTCTTGAAAATATTTGTCGCTATCATGGATTATCCAAGGATATTATATCAGATAGGGGAACTCAATTTGTATCAAGATTTTGACAGACTCTTTTCAAGATTCTAAAAGTGGATATAAAACTATCTTCAGTATTCCATCCTCAAACTGATAGACAAATGGAGAGTGTTAATCAAGTTTTGGAGCAATATTTAAGATGTACCATTAACTACCAACAAAATGATTGGACAACTCTTTTGCCATTGGTAGAGTTTGCTTACAATAACACGGTACATTCTTCTACAAAACAAACACCTTTCTTTGCTAATTATGGTTATCATCCACGACTTGATACTTTTGACTTTTCAAAAGTTGATAATCCTATTGCAAAAGATTTGGCAATTCATTTATCAGAGCTACATGCAACGATGAAGGCGTAGTTAAAAGAGGCTCAAAAACAACAAAAGGTCAATGCAAATGTCTATCGAAAGGAACAACCACCATTCCTCTTGGGTGATAAGGTATGGCTACTTTGTCGCAATATCAAGACCACTTGTCCTTGTGACAAGTTGGACTATCGAAGGCTTGGACCATTTTCTATTTCTGCACAAATCAATCCAGTTGCATATCGTTTATATCTATCGGAGTCAATGAAAATCCATCCAGTATTCCAGGTGTCTCTTCTTGAACTATATAAGACAATAGATATACCAAGAAGACCACAAGCTCCACCTCCTCCTATAGAAGTGGACAATAATGAAGAGTTTGAAGTAGAAGAAGTCTTAGATTCAAGGTGGTACCGAAATAAATTAGAATATCTTATCCATTGGCACGGATATGATATTAGTGAACCCACATGGGAGCCAATAAAGAATCTTGCAAATGTAATAAAGGTGGTAGAGGCTTTTCATCGACGACATCCATCAAAATCAAGATGAAAACCTTCTTCATGAAAGAAACAAGATTTAGGCAAGATAACATTCTACTTTCAATCCTTGTTTCGTAGCTTCTTTGTAGTTGTACTCGGGAGATACAGAACCAACAACTGGCGGATTCGCCTCAAGAGCCTTTATTTGCTGACCTGCCAGATGAGATATTACGCGTTTGGTATCACAATTTGGGAGTCAACATTGCTAGGCTCAACATGTGTCACGGCACTCACGAGTGGCACCGGCAGGTGATCAAGAATTGCCGGAGGTTGAATGCTGAGAAGGGCTATGGCATTGTTGTAATGATCGACACCGAGGGGAGTGAGATACACATGGGCGACCTGGGTGGGGTCTCTTCTGCCAAAGAGGAAGTAAGTTGAAACTTATTGTTTAGGTCGTGCTGCCCTACCTTAAGTGCATTCATTCCTTGCATGCAGATTTTCTAGCGCTTTTGTCAAGCTGCTTTTGCTATTGAGCTATATTCCATGCATCTTCTCTTTGATGATTTTCGAGATTTTAAGTAGGGGTACTAAGTTATTTTTTCCTTCAATCCTGTATGTGTGAAGGATGGAGAAGAGTGGTGTTTCACTATTCGGAAATTTAACGGTCCATTGCCTGCTTACACTCTCCCTGTCAATTACGAAGGCTTTGCTGAAGGTATACTCGACTCTTACTTACTTCTGTCTGTAAATGCTGTCTGGTTATGAATTTATTGTTGCACAGTTTTATGACTTTTGGTCGTCCCAAGACCAGTGCACTTGCAAATCTCCCTTCCCAAAATGCTGTTTTGAAAGACTAACCTGCTTAATCTAGATTTATTATTCTCATGATCTGGGTAAACCTTGTTGGATGGTTACTACAGATGTACAGGTAGGCGACGAGTTGGTAGTAGATGGAGGAATGGTGAGGTTCGAGGTTCTAGAGAAGGTGGGTCCAGATGTGAAGTGCAAGTGCACTGACCCTGGAATACTTCTGCCGTGTGCCAACCTTAATTTATGGCGCGACGGTTACCTGGTGCGGGAGAAGAATGTTACGCTTCCCACAATATCATCAAAGGTAAATACCATTCTTCTTCTTATTATTATTTCCTGATTTTTATTTTATTTCTTTTTTATTTTTGTTTCTTTTTGATATTTTTGAGTTCTACAGATGTTTTTGTTCGTTACGTTCTCATTTTTTGCAAACACACAAGACGGACGATTGGCCACGTGAGGCTAATTTCCTCGTTCAATTCCTCCGCGCTTATTTCAGCTTTAGCTTAAACTTAAATTCAGCTTTCCAAAAGCTTGCGAATGGTTTGCAGGATTGGGTTGATATCGACTTTGGCATATCTGAAGGCGTGGATTTCATTGCCGTTTCGTTTGTGAAGTCTCCCGATGTCATTAAACATCTCAAGAGTTACGTTGCTGCACGGTCCCCAGACAGGTACCAGTATCATGATGGATTCGTCTTCATGTTCATGTATTTTGCGTAAATGAAAAAAAAAAAAAAAAATATGTACATCTGACATGCGAGTGATTTTTATTGCTCAATCCAAGAGTGGATGAAGTTATTTTTTTATAGAGTTCTCCCATCTACTTTACAATTACATGCAGTGATATGCTTTGTAATGCAGGTCAATTGGTGTCATCGCCAAGATCGAAGACGCGAATTCCCTCAGATGTTTGGATGATATTATCCGTGTTTCAGATGGAGTGATGGTTGCAAGAGGAGATCTTGGTGCTCAGATACCACTGGAACAAGTTCCATCTGTGCAAGAAGCCATTATTGATGCTTGTCGAAAGCTTAACAGGCCTGTGATTGTCGCATCACAACTTCTTGAATCGATGATTGAGTATCCCACACCTACTCGAGCAGAGGTGAGATTCGTATGGTATTCCATTTAACGAATTAGAGTGGTCCCATTGTAGTGTGCATCCCTCCGTCTATATCCATCATGTGAACCGGCTAGTGTCTCTGTATGTTTTAGTCCAAATACCTCTCCAGCCTCTTTCCTCTTCAAATTGCATTCAGATTGATGAGAACCTTTAAGTAATAAAGCTTTGACCATTCACTTCACTTGCAGGTGGCAGATGTCTCAAATGCTGTGAGGCAACAAGCAGATGCGTTGATGCTGTCTGGCGAATCTGCCATGGGCCTTCATCCTCAGAAGGCTGTTGAGGTCTTGCGAGGGGTGAGTGTGCGCATGGAGCATTGGAGTCGGGAGGAGTCTCATCATGAGAAACCTCCATTGCCAGAGATTTCTACATCGGATACTGGAAGAACATCTGAACAGATATGCAACTCTGCGACTCAGATAGGTGGGCTTCTGAATATCACTGGTATCATTACTTAAGTTATCAATGAAGTGAGGTGTCGCAATCCGGTTGCTCTTAATCTTTTACTGGAATTCTATGAAGATTCTTGACAACGATGTGGTTACGCAGCCAATAAACTGGGAGCTGATGCAATTCTTGTGTATACACGCCGAGGCTACATGGCATCTTTGATTTCAAGGAACCGTCCAGATTGCCCCATCTTCGCTTTCACGGAGTCACGCAATGTTATGCGGTGCATGGACCTACAATGGGGCGTCGTTCCTTTTCAGTTTGCTTTCAGAAAAGATTTAGAGAGTAACCTTCTTCAATCCTTGGCTCTTTTGAAAGCGCACTGTATGGTGAGATCCGGAAACCTTGTAGTCGCTGTGTCCGACGTCTCCTCAGCCTCGCAATCAGGAACAGGAGTCCTGCAATCCATTCAAGTTCACGTCTTATCTTGAGCAGTTCTTGTTCTCTCAGAGAATCAAGCATACCCGTTCAAGAGATTGTTCTCTCTATGGACTGCATACCTAGGATTCCATATAATGGAGAAGTGATGGCATGAGACGACACGAGTCAGCAAAATAATTTACACTATATTGGGATTTGTCCATCTCCGAGTAACGTTGGAGAGAGATTTGCTAATAGAAAGTAGAGCCGGGGGCTTGCAAATGCGTTTGGTATCACAATTTGGGAAGGGACTCCCGATGTTTGGTGATTTTCTTAGAGGTAGGAACAACTCTTGCTCGTGTTCCAAATGTTGTATTTGAAGGAAGTTATGAAGGCCTCAACAATGATCAAATAATTGGATGGTCTTTCCGCCTTGGTATGGGACACTACTGATTGTTGAGAGGCCCTATCAATCATCTTCGAAGAGAACAAAGATCAGAGTATGTGGCGAATACAATTCGTCACATGATAGATTTCCTCAACATATGATGACCGCTCCTCGTGGAACTCGTTCCTAGAAGGGGGAGTAATGTCACAGACATACTCATATAAGCTAGTAATTACATATACATATAGGTGGAAGTAAGTAAAAGTAAGTTAATTCTATAGTATTTAATATGGAAGCTTCCTAGAAGCTTCATAGACACTACTTTGACTTCATAGGTGTCTTTAATTGACTTTTTGGATTAGAAACGTGGTCAATAAGTTGGCCATGTACCATACACATTGTTAGCTTGAAGATCAAGCTAACTATGTGGCCCACACGTAGAAAAACTTGCCTTGTAAGTCAAGGCATGTGTCCTACAAAGTCAATACATATTGGAGGTCCTATAGAATGTTGCTACGTAGCCCCTAGTTAGATAGTATATATAGACACAAGAGTGAAGCCTTCTTCACTCTTGTCAACTCCTTTCTTGCTTCCAGTCTAGTTTCAAGAGTCTCTAGTTTTCTTGTCTTTTGGCAATAGCCATTCCAGTTTCTCTTTCAATATACATACTTAGTTATTTATATTTTGTTACCTTTCTTTGAGTAAAGACTCACTTGTCTGAATTACTTTTTTCATGGAGTTCTTGTCTTTGACATGTGCTTTCTTAAATGATGTCCTTTTCAAAGAATTTGTCCAATGTCTTTTGTAGCTCTTCAAATTCATTTGATCTAAGGTAATAAATTATTCAACTTATCAATTTGGTCCTAGATAATAGTTATATTTAGAAAGAGGCATCTTGATTAGGTAGCATACCACTGAGTAAGCTAATTGGAAAGACATTCTAATATTCATGTATGAGTTGCTCTACACATTCTACTCATTTGACTGTCTTTTCCACCACTAAGACAAGATTAGAAACCACCGTATATACCAATTGCTTATGCTATATTTATTTCTTCATAAAGATCATCTCTACAAATAAATCTTTAGCTACAATTTTTTTTTACTTCATTCAATGTAGAGGTATAAAGACTCAACTTACATCTACCATCATTGAAGAATATTGCCCTTGTTAGCCAATCAACTTACTTATTTTTCACCTCTAGCTATGGCATATCAAAAATAAATTCTTTAAAATAGCTTGTGGTAGCCTCAAAACAGTACCTCATGTGATTAGAGCAATTGATCTCAAACTAGACGGTGGCTATCAATATGCTCTCAAAGAATAGACTAATACTTGCTCTCATACTAATAAAATTGGACTAGATCATCTCTAAGATCTAAAGCCCTTCCAATCCATAGAAATATAAATTCCATCACAACATAGAATAATATAAATGAGAAGAAAAGTGAACAAAATTAAATAAAATAAAACATAAAAAGTAAAACAAAGCAAAAGAGAATAGAATGGTGTCGTATGGCATGATTTGCTATTTGGGAATACACTGGATATCTAGCTGTAGAGAGTGTAGCTTAAATCTTTATATGAATCTTGAATTAGCCTCCCAAAACTCCTTTATTTTGTATAAAACTCAAAATATAACAAAACCCCTTCAAAAAGTATTTTTTCCACGAAGGATTTTCTTGTCTTTAACTTTAGAAAATCATAACTCTTAATCTAATCATTCAGTTTATCTCAAATTTACAAGATAGGTAGAATTCATCTTTAACTTTTATTACCAAAAAAAAAGCCAACTATAAATTCACTCCCGATCTTCTAGAATCTAAGAAACTCTAGCAGATGCTCTAAACCCTAATTTACAAGCACTCGAACACTATTTTCTTAATATCTCAAGAATCCAATACTCAAATATCATAAAACTTATGCATAAAGTTTATTAACATAAAATTATACATTTTCTGAAATTTTGAGCCAAAACCTTATGAAATTGCTCATGATATAGCTCAAGAGACAACCACTAGCAAATCGAGTTACTTACTACCCTTAGATTGCGTGTAGTGACTTCAAAATCCAATAACTCATTCACTTAACTTAGAATCCAGTAAACAGTATGTGAAAAGTGTAGCCGCAAAAGTGCTCTCTCCAGTCGCAGTCGCCGATCCTCAATTGCTATCCGTACACATACATTATGCTAAAAGGAGTGACAGTAGCTTCCAAATAAACACCTTAACTTTGAGTGTTTGTACCTCCTTCATATAAACTCCAAACCATACAAAACTTGCATCTAAATCATAGCCAAAAACCTAAACCTTTTGACCCTAGCCTTCAAAACTCGAATGGCCTTGAGAAACTAGCCCTAATCTCTAATATGGCCTCAGGCAGCCTCCTCAAAGCCCATTGGTCATGATTTTTGACTAATAGGAATGGAGATTTTCATCATTCATCTCCATTCATCTATATTAGTGCCCTAATTACCCCTTTTGCTAACAAAACCCTTCTTCAATCCTTTTTCTTATAAAATTTACATAATTTATGCTCTAAACATCAAATAAAAGAATCAAAAGAAGTTTTCAATGGTCACTAATGTCTAACAAAGGTGATTCTAAATATTTAGAAGTTACTATCAACCAAAACCAATCTTAAAAGCCACTATCAAAAGAAAATTAAAGTTATACAAATTCTATAGTAATTTTTTTAATTAATCTCTTCTCAAGGTAATAATCAAATTATATTCTACAACCAACTAAAATCTATTAATATGGCTCTCACCATGTTACTTAATGAATTATATATTTAGTACATAATTACATTATTTTCATATAGTAGCCGAACTACAACACGACAATGGTATTGAACAAAAAAGTACAAAATCAAACTTTACTAAGAAAAAGGGACCAAAGTCATACTTGACCAGATATCCAAATGGTCCTAGCCAGTCTTATTTATACTTTGTTCAACCATCTTAGAACATTTTAGAATGTTCTTAATGATGGATCCTACCTAGATAACCACCTTAAGCCCTTTCTAAAATATTCTATGGTAGATATCACATAGACCACCAATCTAACCTCAATTCTAGAAACTTCTCAAACATGGCTCCAACTACCTATCTCTATGTATCAACAATATGAATATTTTATCCATACCCTACTAGATATCCATTAACTATAAACATATATTAAGTCAAATTTGCATCTATAAAGCTTTTAAGAAGCTTATCCACAAAATATTATTAAATCTACTTATATTTATTTTCTACCTATTACTTTTAATCTAAGTAATTTATGTATATCCATGACAATAGAGCTGAGTAGAATTAGAAGACTAATATTTATTTATTTAAGCAGGCATTTGATTTTCCAGAAAATTTAATAGTCGAAAAGAAGAGTGTCTCTCTAATACACCCATGAGGCATGAATTCTTATCATTCTGAGTACTGAACTCAAAGTTGACACCTTTCGGAAGAGACAACTACTAAATGGTATTATACTGGTGAAGATCTTCACATGTGTTGGTTAACATCTTGCATGTGCTGACAACAAAATGCTCACATATAATGAGCAATGCAAGAGGTGGTAGAAGGCCAGCAGTATTGATTGGATAATGGACACCTGGTGCAAGTTTGTGTGAGCACGGCGTTGAGCTTGCCTTGATCAGAGTGCTGAAACAGCGTTTGATCCAGAGAACCGCCGTTTCGATTCGATGGCAAGTCCTGGAGAAAGTTCCAGCAGCATACGTTTTCCATGCATGAGCTCACCAGGTGAAGAATCTCTGAGGACTTAGTTGCTCATTCAGTGTATCGATTGTTGACGTTTGGAGGTCAACTTTGAAGTGGTACATGTCCAGTGGTTGGAACGTCATGTCGGCGGTGCCGAACGGCTTAGTCAGTCACGCGTGCAAAATATTCACCGCGCGGAATAGGAACCACTCGCAGTAGTCAAGCCAGTGAAGAAAAAGCAATTGCCGGTTGACCACAACGAGGCGCTTGCATCACTGATGTTTTCTGTTAGATGTCACAACAAGCCAGTGATGACAAGAATTGCACCTAACAGATGTTGTCTCAGCGATTATCGGTGATGTGAGAGACACAAAGCAGAACTTAGAAACCACGCAAGTCATTTAGGTTGTGAAACCATGAGGAGTTACGCAATGCACAAAATGCATGTAGCGAGCGTGTCTCATGTGCTACGGATGTGCTCAAGAACAACTTGCGTCACTGGTCAGAAACCTGCACAACTCATAATATAATATTTAGGGTACCAAATGGTTGGGTATGTTAATGAACAAAGTTGAGAAGCTTCCATATGTACTTGTGAAAGGAATCTTTGGTGCATACCAACGAATATTTCGAAAAATAATGTATAACCGACTAAGTTAGTACACTAGCATACACCATAGACGTAATGGCTATGATGGTGGACATGTTCAGGCCACACAATAGTGCATATGTGACTCGGGGAAGACTCCGCTTGTGAGCCATTCACCGAGTTCATATCAACTGCTGCCTTCAGCGAACAGCAGGACAATTGTAAAGAATGAGATGAGCTATCCAAATCTGATTTCTAAACGTCTCACTCACCATAAGCTGACCCTGTGCACAACAATAATTCCCCCTAGACGTAATTGGAACACTGTTCTGAAGATAAAGAAATAGTTCCTTGAACTGATTAAAAAAAAGGATCAGAGAAATTGTATTGGCATTAAAAATCTCATCATGCTCAAAAATCCAACCTGCAGCCGTGAAGTATGTCACGAAGTTGAACAGCGGCAATTTTCCCATGCTATATGCAACGAAGCGAAGCTACATCTCAAGATGATCCCGCTAATGGTGAAGAGCACAGCGTCAACGTGAAAGCAAGCTGCTCCACCAGTAGCGTCTTGTAATCCATGTAGTCCGGGTGCACGATTAGCATGGATCGGTAATGTGTAGGAAACGGTGTCTCTCACCTCTCTACATGGCTCATCATTTTTAGTATGCAATTAGGTGCCGGTGAACTTTCTGAGGCATCTGAATTTTAAAAACTATCAAACGAAATTGGGACCAGCATTAAACGAGAACCATGATAAAAAGCTCTTGAAAGGTACGAGCTGATCTTGTTATAATGATTTATTTAGTGAAGTGAAGGGTTCAGCGTGGTATTGTTCAGCGAAAGTAGGAATTTAAAAACAGATCTTCGTCTAGTATTCAATCTCCGGAACTAAACTCTCGACCTATAAACCCGGAGCAAACAAAAACTTTCTGCTGTCGCGTGCAGATTTGCAACCCCAGCTTCATAAATCTCAGTCAAGATGCATTCATAAACCAATCTTACAAAAACTTTGTAGATTCATGGATAGTGTTTGCCTGCATACCCAAGTACGACAACTGCTGCCGCAATGCTCAATTCCTGGTTGAGTGTTCGGTTGTCGAGATATACAGCAATTGCTGTGAAACGTTGGTGTTTGTGGACGTGGACGTGGATGTCGATGTTGGTGTTTGGTGAAACGTTGAAGATCCTCACACCGGTACACTGTGCCGCGAGAGCAGCGGGGTAACCTAATCAACCCATGTCCCACAAAGTCCAACATCTACGTCCTGCGCAGAAATGCACCTAAAGAACAAGCAATCAAATGTCCTCGCTAGTGAAGGAGACCGACGAAAGAGCCAACATCTTTGAAGTCTTTCCTCTTGTTGAAAAATTTGAAGTTGGAGAATTTTTGCCAAACGAAAAACGTTTTCATAGAAACTAGCTTTCCACTGTGGTTTATGATTGGAAATAATGTGTGTTTACATCAAAATACGCTTCTGCTCAGACTTGGATCGGTTGAAACAGTGTAAATCTCACCCGAGCCATGTAATATGAGGTAACATGTCGTATAATGGATTAACTACATATTGTATTTCAAGTTAAAAGTGAACTTTTGGTAGTAAAGGTAAAATCCTGAATCTCTTCTCGTCCATTTCAGTCTCGGATCCATAGGTTTCGGTCTGCAGAATAAATTCTTTCGTCAACACCAAAAGTTGTCTACCTCTTTTTTCACCCAAGTTTCTCACCCAAGATACACGAGGCAGTTATCGTGTCCCCGAAAAGTTTGTACTTCACAAACTGTGTCTGCAACCTTTGTGAATGACCACCTCACTGCGGTGTGTACAATTGATGGAAAACTAGTGTGAAGACGATTAAGGAAATGCTCAGGATCCGGGAGTCTTTACAAGGTGCACACGGGATCTTTACAAGGTATAGAGCTTTACTTTTTCAGGAAATCGGATATGTTTACAGATAATCAATGCAGACGTTGGAGGTGGACCAAATCTGACCAATGGAAAGGTACATGTACTGCAAGCCCCCGGCTCTACTTTCCATTAGTAAATCTCTCTCCAACGTTACTCGGAGATGGACAAATCCCAATATAGTGTAAATTATTTTGCTGACTCGTGTCGTCTCATGCCATCACTTCTCCATTATATGGAATCCTGGGTATGCAGTCCATAGAGAGAACAATCTCTTGAGCGGGTATGCTTGATTCTCTGAGAGAACAAGAACTGCTCAAGATAAGACGTGAACTTGAATGGATTGCAGGACTCCTGTTCCTGATTGCGAGGCTGAGGAGACGTCGGACACAGCGACTACAAGGTTTCCGGATCTCACCATACAGTGCGCTTTCAAAAGAGCCAAGGATTGAAGAAGGTTACTCTCTAAATCTTTTCTGAAAGCAAACTGAAAAGGAACGACGCCCCATTGTAGGTCCATGCACCGCATAACATTGCGTGACTCCGTGAAAGCGAAGATGGGGCAATCTGGACGGTTCCTTGAAATCAAAGATGCCATGTAGCCTCGGCGTGTATACACAAGAATTGCATCAGCTCCCAGTTTATTGGCTGCGTAACCACATCGTTGTCAAGAATCTTCATAGAATTCCAGTAAAAGATTAAGAGCAACCGGATTGCGACACCTCACTTCATTGATAACTTAAGTAATGATACCAGTGATATTCAGAAGCCCACCTATCTGAGTCGCAGAGTTGCATATCTGTTCAGATGTTCTTCCAGTATCCGATGTAGAAATCTCTGGCAATGGAGGTTTCTCATGATGAGACTCCTCCCGACTCCAATGCTCCATGCGCACACTCACCCCTCGCAAGACCTCAACAGCCTTCTGAGGATGAAGGCCCATGGCAGATTCGCCAGACAGCATCAACGCATCTGCTTGTTGCCTCACAGCATTTGAGACATCTGCCACCTGCAAGTGAAGTGAATGGTCAAAGCTTTATTACTTAAAGGTTCTCATCAATCTGAATGCAATTTGAAGAGGAAAGAGGCTGGAGAGGTATTTGGACTAAAACATACAGAGACACTAGCCGGTTCACATGATGGATATAGACGGAGGGATGCACACTACAATGGGACCACTCTAATTCGTTAAATGGAATACCATACGAATCTCACCTCTGCTCGAGTAGGTGTGGGATACTCAATCATCGATTCAAGAAGTTGTGATGCGACAATCACAGGCCTGTTAAGCTTTCGACAAGCATCAATAATGGCTTCTTGCACAGATGGAACTTGTTCCAGTGGTATCTGAGCACCAAGATCTCCTCTTGCAACCATCACTCCATCTGAAACACGGATAATATCATCCAAACATCTGAGGGAATTCGCGTCTTCGATCTTGGCGATGACACCAATTGACCTGCATTACAAAGCATATCACTGCATGTAATTGTAAAGTAGATGGGAGAACTCTATAAAAAAATAACTTCATCCACTCTTGGATTGAGCAATAAAAATCACTCGCATGTCAGATGTACATATTTTTTTTTTTTTTTTCATTTACGCAAAATACATGAACATGAAGACGAATCCATCATGATACTGGTACCTGTCTGGGGACCGTGCAGCAACGTAACTCTTGAGATGTTTAATGACATCGGGAGACTTCACAAACGAAACGGCAATGAAATCCACGCCTTCAGATATGCCAAAGTCGATATCAACCCAATCCTGCAAACCATTCGCAAGCTTTTGGAAAGCTGAATTTAAGTTTAAGCTAAAGCTGAAATAAGCGCGGAGGAATTGAACGAGGAAATTAGCCTCACGTGGCCAATCGTCCGTCTTGTGTGTTTGCAAAAAATGAGAACGTAACGAACAAAAACATCTGTAGAACTCAAAAATATCAAAAAGAAACAAAAATAAAAAAGAAATAAAATAAAAATCAGGAAATAATAATAAGAAGAAGAATGGTATTTACCTTTGATGATATTGTGGGAAGCGTAACATTCTTCTCCCGCACCAGGTAACCGTCGCGCCATAAATTAAGGTTGGCACACGGCAGAAGTATTCCAGGGTCAGTGCACTTGCACTTCACATCTGGACCCACCTTCTCTAGAACCTCGAACCTCACCATTCCTCCATCTACTACCAACTCGTCGCCTACCTGTACATCTGTAGTAACCATCCAACAAGGTTTACCCAGATCATGAGAATAATAAATCTAGATTAAGCAGGTTAGTCTTTCAAAACAGCATTTTGGGAAGGGAGATTTGCAAGTGCACTGGTCTTGGGACGACCAAAAGTCATAAAACTGTGCAACAATAAATTCATAACCAGACAGCATTTACAGACAGAAGTAAGTAAGAGTCGAGTATACCTTCAGCAAAGCCTTCGTAATTGACAGGGAGAGTGTAAGCAGGCAATGGACCGTTAAATTTCCGAATAGTGAAACACCACTCTTCTCCATCCTTCACACATACAGGATTGAAGGAAAAAATAACTTAGTACCCCTACTTAAAATCTCGAAAATCATCAAAGAGAAGATGCATGGAATACAGCTCAATAGCAAAAGCAGCTTGACAAAAGCGCTAGAAAATCTGCATGCAAGGAATGAATGCACTTAAGGTAGGGCGGCACGACCTAAACAATAAGTTTCAACTTACTTCCGCTTTGGCAGAAGAGACCCCGCCCAGGTCGCCCATGTGTATCTCACTCCCCTCGGTGTCGATCATTACAACAATGCCATAGCCCTTCTCAGCATTCAACCTCCGGCAATTCTTGATCACCTGCCGGTGCCACTCGTGAGTGCCGTGACACATGTTGAGCCTGGCGATGTTGACTCCCGACGAGGCCAGCGCTTCCATTTGTTCGTAGGAACAGCAAGACGGCCCGATCGTGGCAATCAGCTTCGTCCTCCTCACATTGCGAAACCCACCTTCTCCCTTCAGCTCCTCTTCAATGCGCGAGTCCACCTCGAAGCCACGCTCCGTTACAGCTCTCTCCAACCTCGTTACATCCGCCTCCACGCCCGCCGGCGTCTCATACTCAGTCTTCAAGACACTCTTCGTAATGGGTGTCAATGCCCGACTACCCCCAACACAGGCCCCATTCCTCCCTCCACTCCTGGAAACTAAGGAAGAGTTACCCCGCAGCTTGGATCCGCCCAAATTACAAAGCCGCAAACCAACTCTTCCATTGCTTAAACCCCCTCGATCAGCAAATGCACTCACGTCCGTCACTTGCCACGCGCATCGAACATCGTACACTGGAAGAGTATTGGCCATGTCAACCAACGCCGGACCACCCTAACCTTCTCCTCTGAGTTGCAACAACGAGAAAAAAGAACCTCTCGAAGGAAACCAACTCGGCGCAAACCCACTAGCGAAGGTTTAGAGCTTCTGGCAAGGAAACAATGATCTGAGATCAACGCAGGAACGTCAAGGAACACGAAGACGAAAATAGACAACAAGCTCAACTACAAAGACAAAACACATGCCATTTCGGACAACCAGCACTGCAAATATAGAAGAAGTGTCACGCCATGCAAGTGTTGCACCTGGACTGCACAGGCGAAGGCAGAGATGAACTCTACTAACCATGGGTACCACTCAGCAACAGATGTCTTGGCTGCTACGGCGAGAGGGCGTGAAGCTCGAAAGCCCCGATGACACCGAGGCGGTGGCAAAACGGCGGAGTTACCGAGGCGCAAACAACACCATTCACCACCACCACGACGTCGTCGTCCTTGAAGTCTCGGCTGCTCTCTCGCTTCTCTTTTCCCACGAGGACACCGTCCGTCATGTCGTTCCATTCAGATATGGACAGTGTTTGCGATGAGCGTGTCATGCGAAAATCGGGTGTTCTGACGGAAATCGACGGCATGTTTATCCGGATAGTAACCAAAGATAGTGTCAGATCGTCCTCCGACACACTGTGGATCACTTCTACTCGCAAGGACACGTCCATCCTCCTCAATCCTCGGGGGTAATTGGCTTCCATTGGGCCCTTTCTACCGTTAAGCCGGATGTAATCGCTGAGTTTTGATGGTTTGCAAAAGAGGGGTTCAATGTCGGACAAGTTGAATCGTTTTGTTCCGAGGACTCTGTAAAAGCTGTTCTACCATGGTAATGTGCAATTTATGGAAGATATTATTGCTTATAAAATTAGGAAGAAGTGTTAAAATCAGTAGGTGAAGGATCCTAAGACCATAAGGTGAATTAGAATTGTTTCAGAGTAGTAATGGTTGTAAGTTTCTTCATCATAACTTTTAGAGCACCATTTTTGTTATGGCTTCTAAATTAGTTGATCATTATATTAATCAATTAGTTGAAAAGTATTACAACACATGAGTTTTCATCATAAAATACTTATTTTATTCTTATCAAACTTACATGTACATAGATGGTATATTATTAGTTTAATGGAATAGGTAGTTTGTTTAGATTGAATATTCAAAAGTTTTAGTTAATTGTTCAAAATTCCTTACTTTTATTGAGTTTGAGGAAAAAAACAAGGAAGAAATGAGCAATTAGGAGATTTTTAGATGTTAGTAGATTTATAATGCTCAATTCAATAATTTTGAGATGTTATTGGACTTTACTATCATTATTAGTTTAATGTAATGTGTTTTTGCTCTTATGTGTTTTGCCTTGTTTTGTCAAGGACATAAATTGCAGAGACCCAAAAGGTCAATATACTCTTACTTATCTCAGGAGAAAAGACTTGATAATCATTCAAAGATAGTATAATATTGAAATTAGAATAGATATTGTCAAAGACAAGAAAAATAGAGACTCTTAAAACAAGACTAACAACAAAAAAAGCATTAACAAGAATAAAAAAAAGGCTTCATTCTTACCTCCATATATACTATCTAATTAGAAGCTATGTAGCAAAGCTCTATAGGACTTCTAACACATGTTCAACTTGAACAACACATGTCTAACTTATAAGACAATTTTTTTACATGTGTGCTACATGACCAACTTATTAGTCAAGATTCCAATCTACCAATCAACTACAAACATGTATAAATTCAATTCAGCATTTATAAAGCTTCTAAGAAGCTTGTCCATAAGATCTTATGAAATCTACTTATATTTAGTTAATATATAATACTTCTTATTTAGGTAATTATACATCTTTGTAATATTATATCTCCTTTTAGGCACAAGTTTTACAATGAGTATTGATCATATCTTGATTCTTTATTTTAATTTTGATAGATGTTGTCAATCAAAAACATCAACCTTCTTTTTTTTTCATTTGTAGGATTCATTGTTAGTTTCTATGTATATTCAATAACATCATTTGTGCCAATGTACAAGATATTCCAATCTATTTTGGTGTCATCTTAAATCTAAGTCTTCTTCAACTTTAAACACTTGATTATTGTCTACTTTTACAGAAAGAGGTGGATAGTTAGGTTTCATCTTTTAGAATACATAAACAATCTTTGAAATAGAATAGATTATTTTTAAATTTAAACTTTGAATTATGAAGATATTTAAATAGATCATATTTAATAATGTGAACAAGAGAATTTAAGGACATATTTGATTGAATTTGCTTTAAAAAAATTGAATTAACAATCAATGTTGATTTCATTGTGGAAAGATAAAATTGCTTTAGCTTCAAAAGAATTATTTGTTATTGATCAAAACTTGTATCTCTTCATTTTGGTGGAAGTTAAGAATATCTAAAAAACACATTTGATAAACCTTATTTTTTTTCATGATTAATAAATGATCTTAAATTAAAATTTAATAAAGACATATTTTAATGGACTTGTTGATAATTTAGAATATTTATTAATATAAAATACTTGAGGTTCTTGTGATCCATATACACATTAATTGGAGTTGAAGTGCCTTTTAAATAATGGTGTTATTTTAGAAATAAATCTACAATTACAAAAAGTTCTTTAATGTGGATCTTTTTATTAATATTCATTACTAAAAAAACATGAATAAAAAGCTATTGAGTGAATTTTTTTTATTTGTTCCTATTTGTGATAATACTTCATCTAAAGCAAAGTCTAATATATTTTTTTTCATAAAAAAATACCTTAGAAAAGTTGACACAATATAAAATTAATATAAAAATAAAAATTGACTTTAAAGCTCCAAATGATACTTTTGCTTCTTTATTCTACTTAAATTTGTCTTTACATGTCAAATATGTAAATAGAGATCCAATTTGAAAAAAAATCTTAATAAAGATTTGATAATAATTTGTAAATTATAAAAAATATTTGACATTTCTTATTATTTTTAAAATCTTCTAATCTATGATAGTTTAAACTTTCTTAAGATCCATCATAAGTCCATTATTTGAAATAATATTTTCTAAAAATTCAACCTGGATTTTATAAAATATTTATTTTTTCATCTTAGCATATAATTCCACATCTTTAAATTTTTATAATATATGACAAGTATAAAGTTTATGTTCTTTTTTATTCTTAGAATAGATTAAGATGTTGTCTAAATAATACATGACAAAATCATCTAAATATTTTCAAAAAACATTATTCATAAGATGTTAAAAGTAGTTGGTATATTTATGAATCTAAAAGACATGATATTATATTTAAAATGTCTATACTTAGTTTGAAATGCAATCTTCTAATCATCTCTTTTTTCAATACATATGATGTTGCATGTTCCTAAAAGATATATTTTTGTATAGATCTTAATTTAACTTAGTTGATCAAGAAGTTATGCTATCAAAAGTAAAAACATCTATTCTTAATGATAATCTTGTTGAATCTTCAATAATGCACACACATTTATAGTGATCTATCAATTTTCTTCATAAATAAGATAGAAGCTCTTACTAAAGATTTTAAATGACATATGAATTTTTTAGTTAGGTTCTTATTAATATATTCCTTGAGTGCAACTAACTTATTATGTGAAAAGTTATAAATTGGGCCAAATGGCAATTGAGTTTTTTCTTGAAAATCAATTAAACAATTATAAAAACAATGATTTAAAATAATACATGCATATTTCTTTTCAAAAACATCTTAATAATATTGATATTGACTAGGAATGCTACTTAAAGTCTTTCTACCATTAAAAATAGGTATGGCATAAATAACAAAAAATGAACTTTTTTTTACAATACACATTAAAGTTCTTGCACCTATCAATAAAGATTTGGTTGTATTGGACTTATAACTTTCTATCTTCATAATAGAAGTTTAGATTATGTTATTAAAAAAAAATAAGGTTATAAAAAATTCAATCTATTTAAAGAATATAATTATATTAAATATTATTAATCTATTATAATAATTAGTTGATATATTTAAAAGAATGGTTTCATAAGTAGCATTTCCAAAAGTCAATAAACAAATATTTATAACTTTTATACAATGACTCAAAACATTGTTTCAATGTTGACATATTTTGGAAAGAATGGTATATTACAGATGAATTATAGTGAATAATGACACGTGATTTGTATAGCAAATAAAGTACTCTTTTACAGCTACCAAATGAACCCAAGTTGAAAAGAATCCATTGGATAATTGTAGAGCTATGATCAATTTAATTTGAAATAGTATTAAAATATTTTTTTGAATGTGGTATCTAATTACATATCAATACTTTGTAGGACCTCTTTTGGCCTTAATAACTACTTCCAACCTCCTAGGCATACTTTCTATTAACTTTTGGCATAAAACTACTTCAATATTATTTCATTTTGAAGCTATTCTTTTCCATGATTTCCAAAATTCCTTTGGTTTTATCTTCTAAGTATTGAGTTGGTATTTAAGATGCTCCCAAAGATGTTTAATGGAATTAAGATGAAAAAAATAAGTAAGCTAATCCATTACTTTAATTCTATGATGATCAAATTACTTCCATGGTAGTTTTGAGTTATGCTTGGGATTATTACCTTCTTGAAAAATCACCTCCTCCTCAGAAATATCAGATTCTTCAATGTTAGGAAGCAAGTTTTTTTCAAGAATTTTCACAAATTCCTTGGCATCCATCCTCTCTTCAATTTTTGCCATCATCTTAATTCCATTCCATCTTATACAATCTCATACCATTATATTTCCACTGACATGCTTAATTATTTCTTCAATTTTTTTATCAAGCAAAGAGTGACTCTTTTATTTCTACATCCATTTTTTGCCATCTGATCCAAATCTATTGATTTTTTGTCTTATTTGACCAAATAGCCCTCTTCCAATTCTCTACAATTTATTCATTGTACTTTATAACAAAATTCAAGTATTGTTTCCAATAGTTGATAGATATTAGTGGCTTTTTCTTCTTCACTATGGCTTTCATGTTCTATTTCTTGAAAAAAAATCAAATAGTTTGAATTGACACATGATTATTGATAATATTGTTAAAGTTTTTAGCAACCTCAACAGCATTTTTAGCCTTTATAGTATTGATTTGGCAAATGATTATCCTTTCATCTACTACAATGAGTTTCATTGGTCTGCCTAATTTTAGGTTCTTCCTATTAAAAATAATTGTGATTATCATTTTACTTATTCTTCAATTTCTTTCAGAATAAACTTGTATAGAAAAATTCGAACACAAGGAAAAACTAAGTGCATGAATTTTACTTGTTAGGATCACACAATTAACCGTATTTAAACACATAATTTCCATCCAACACCAAGAATAACAAACTTCACTCCAACCAATCTGAATTCACATAATTTTTGTAATCACCAATTTCTTTTGTCAAAAATACACACAGCTATCA